CCCTACAGGGCTGCACAGAAGAACCAGCCCCCCAAATGAGAAATAGGGATAGACAGAATCCATTCAGAAGAAAATCTTAGTTGAATTAGTGAAGAAGCTAAGATTTATTGGACCCCTGTTACGTTCTAGGTACTTGTATTAGGTGATTCATAAATTTGTCTCAAAATATAAAAAGGTTTTATTCTGATATCTGTATAACTTCACCCCTTCTCTGGAGTAATGAGCAATAAATCTAGCAAAGAGGTATATGATTGTTTAGGGACAGGAGGAGAAAGAAGTGACTGTAGTTTTGATCCATGGGGACTGGGAGAATCCTTGAAACAGGATCTGAGTCTTATTCAACTTCTCATTCCCAGTGCTTGGGACAAGTGCTGGCACACATTCACAGATGATTGACAGAACGGGTGCTAGTGGTAGCATGCTACAACAGCAGGTGGAAGCTATTTGGGTTCTGAAAAAGAATGGGGTAGCATGGACAGAAATATGATTCCAGGAGATGGTGCACCTGCAGGTAGCCCCTGGTTGAAGCTTTGCCATGTGGATAGGATGGTAGTCAGAAATGGGAAGAGAACAGATGAAATATAGTAGTCCAGGAGATAGCCACCCTGTTCTCTAGAACCAACTTTATAACGTGATTCACCCATGTGACACCTAAGTAGCAATCTTGTTTGCCTAAGAATGTACTTGAGTGAATTTTTACCTCTGTATAAAAATCAACCTTACACTTGTACAAGTAGTACATAGGAATAGAATATGCTCCAGAAACTGGATCGTAGACTATGTACGGAGAACACCAGAACGCATGGTGTGTACCATGCTGTACTCTGGTATCTCACCTGGTTGGAGGGGAGACTGCATACATGAGAGATAAGACTGAAAACATAGTGAATTCAGATCAGGGAGGAAGAATATGATTTTTACACTGTCAACAACTGGGAACCATCAATGATCCGTTTTAATATGCTACTTGGTATAGTTAATAAAACCTCATGTATTCCCTTTTCTAAGATCAGCATACTATTTAGATTAACAAACAGAAAATATAAATTGAATGTTTAGAAACTATTTTTTCACAGTGAACTTCCCGTTTTACTTAATACAAATTTACTGTTCCAATTCCGTGCTAACCACTCACCCATTATACCTGGTTCCCAGTGAGGAGAAATCC